CACCCTCACCTACCCCCCCTACCCCTCCCTACCCCTCCCCCTACCCCTCTCCCCCTCAGGTCGCTGGTGACCAGCAAAGCCGCAACCCGGTGTTCCTGGTGGACTGCCACCCCTCCTGCCCCACCAACTCCCTGGGACAGCAGGTCATCCAGGAGGGGCCCTCTGCCGTACCGTGGAAACAACAACTGCTGGGCCAGGTGGGGGGGAAGGACGAGGGGGGGATTGGGGAGGGGGGCGGCGGTTGGGGGAGAAGTATGTGTTTTTTTGGGGGGAAGTGTTTGTGTGTGTGTGACTGCCTTGCGTGAGATGTACGATATGAAATGAGGTGGCGGGGCGGGAAGGGTTGATGTTGTGAGATGTTAATGTAAGGTGTTGAGGTACCCCCCGGGTGGAAAGCAGCGCCCTCTGGCCATGCTAATACCCCACCCCCCCGCCCACACACGCCTCCCTCGCCCACACACGCCTCCCCCCCCCCACACACACGCCTCCCCGGCCTTCCCCCCTCAACAGACTGTGGGTTACAAGTCGTACAACGCCGCCGCGGCCGTGTTCAAAGAGCTGGCCAAGTCCAAGGCGGGCAAGAGCGCCGCGGCGGGGGGAGCTCGTGGACCGCAAGACATCTTCAAGTGAGGAGATATAATTGTATGCATGTATGTATGCATATATGTATGCATGCATGTATGTATGCATATATGACTTAGATTACACTGTGGGCCGCGAGAGCCGGGGGCCGAAGCCGAAACACAGCGCAAGGGTCGTGAGCACACAGCACAAGTTGGTTAGTCTTGTGTGCTCCCGACCCCGACTCAGACTGCCAACACTCTACGCAGCCACTCCGCAGCCCCTCCATCCGGGGATGGCGCTGCATTGAATACACCACGAAGGGCTCTCAGGTCCCGCTAGAGCGAGTCCACAAGTCTCAGCTAGGGCAAAGTCAAAGGCTCTCTGAAACAACCCCCCAAAACACCACCAACGAAAACGGGATTCGAAGGGAAAACAAACAAACAAACAAAAATTCGGTTAGGGCAGTCCCGGCAGGGGAGGGCTCCTGATATCATGTATGCATGTATGTATGTATGTATGTATGTATGTATGTAAGATATACAGGTGTTTTAAGAAACGGGAGCTACAGCGGGAGGTTGTGGGGGGCACTCTTTAAGAAGCTGCGACTTAGTTGGCTTATGAACTGCTTTCAGCTCTTGAGTTGTGGTTTGGGCAGATGGGGTGCGGTGCGGGAGTTAACGCGGGCTAGGGGGGGCGCAGGCGGGCAGCATGTCGGTTTTCTTTTTCAACAAACCTCCGGGGGCCTGGAGGGGTGTCGGGGGGGTGGGAGGGGTTGTACGGGAGATGGGGGGGAATAATCTTTGGGTTTGGGGGTGCTGCGGGTTGTGCATGCGTGTGTTGTGGGGTGGTGGGATGTACGATATATAACAAAACAACAGCAGCAACGACTAACTGAGCACGTATGAATAGGGACTTTTTGTACGCTTTAGCAACCGTTTTTTAACCACCCGCTAACCGCTTCTGCAACCGAACGTAACCGCTCCGCAGGCAGCTGATGCGCAGTCGTCTGCCGCCCATGACCTTCTTCGTGGAGCAGATGACGGAGGGGGTCCTGAAACCGGAGGTGGGGGGGAGGCATGTACGGGATGTACGGGACGTACATGTGAATGTCCGCGTGTGCTGAAATGGCAAAAACGCCAAGTGTGTGTATGTATGTATGTATTGCTGTCATGCGCGTATGAGCGTGCTGTGCGAGGAAGGACACCAGGACTTGATACTTCCCTCACCCTCTGTCTCTGTCTCTTCCCCCTCTTCCCCCCCTTCCCCCCCTCTCCCTCTCTTCCCCCCCTCTTCCCCCCCTCCCCCCCTCTTCCCCCCCTCCCCCCCCTCTCATCTTCCCCCCCACCCGCCGTAGGGTTGGGCTACGATGGAGTCGGTGGCGGGTTTGGGCGACGAGGTCACGGAAGACGAGGAGGCGGAGAGCTTTGGACACATGTGAGTAGTGTACGGCATGTACGACAGTATCTTGTTGAGGAGTTGCATTAGGACTTGGTGATGCTGTCCAAATTGTTGCTCAGTCGCTGTTATGTCGTTACTGCCATTGCGAGATGTGTACGGCATACTTTTGTCATGTCACGCTGCCTGTTGTAATGATGATGAATACAGTGATATGTGTTCCTCACTGTACGGCTGTTGGGCTGGGATGGATCTGATTGTCGTACATCTGCCCCGTACACAGGTACTACCAGCACATGTACGACCTGGCCATGTCGGGTGACCCGTGGGCTCAGCGGGAGTACGCCGCCATGCTGCGGTCGTACGACAAGGCTCAGGAGACCTTCAAGGCGTCGTACGAGGAGGCTGACCTGGACCACGCGATTGAGTACGGCATTGAGGTACGGCATTGAGGCAGGACAAGGGTACGAACCCCAAACGACGCGCCTTTGGTTGGGTCACACAGAGATTGTATGGTTGGATCGCATTCCGATCACACCCATTCACCATTTCGCATTTAGGGTTTTTAATCTAATTCAATCCACCTTGCTTTGCCGTACACATCCACCCCTTTGACCTTCCCGCCCTCTCTTACCCCCCTGCCCCTTTCCTTTTCCCCCGCCGGAATACACAATCCCCCCCCCCCCCCGCAGTCGTACGTCGTGGATCCCATTGACTTTGGTCCTTCCTTTGACCCGGAGGACTTGTACAGCTACCGCCACGCGTACGCCGAGGCGGCGGACTCGGCCATCACTGTCATCCCCTCCCAGGTGGGGGGTAAGAGTGTGTTTTGTACGATTGTACGGCCCTCCACGTCGTGTAAAGTTGAGGGTTGAGAGTCAGTCAATATTGGTGTCCAAAATATGCATACATACATAAATAAATAAATAAATAAAAGGGGAGGCCGAGTTCCCTTTTTCCCCGTTGCTGTCCTATTCTCTCAACCCTCCCCCCCTCCCCCAAACACATACATATATACAGGATTATTACGGTCCGGAGCACGAGGACCCGCTAAACGGCTTTGTAATGCAGGTACGTGTTGTGCGTCTGTGCGGCCGGGAGAGGGGGGGAAGGTGGGGTTGAACCGGGAGCGGGGGGACGGCCGCGTGTGTGTGTATGTGTGTGTATGTGTGTCGATACGATTGGACCGAAATTGTGACGTATTATGGTAACGGATCTAGGGCAAATGCGGTGTGTGGTGTGCGGTGTGTGGAAACAGGGAGACGGAGGAGCGGGGGGATACCTGGCAACATATATGCTGTATTGATGCAGCTGGCGAAATTATGGTCTCCTTCTGAAACTCACTTGCTTCAAATTCCAGAACCCCCTTTTCCAAATTGAGTGTAATTTTCCATTTAACCTAAAGAAAAGTAACTCTGTACATATGTAATTTTCAACCCCGCGCAGTACGAGTCTCAGCCGTTTGCTCGCCACGGCTGGGGGGGGGTTCCCTTCGACTTGTCGGTGTGCGTGGAGAAGGATAAGACCAGTTTGTGTCTCCAGGGGGAGACCCACCTGACTGTCGTACATTCCGTACCGCCCTTTGGACCTCGGCAAGTCACACAGGTAGGGGAAGTGAGGTAGGGGGGAAAGGTAGGGGGGAGGTAAGGGGAGGGTATTAGCAGGGGGCGGATTATGATGTACTCCAGGACACGGGGCCCCAGTCGTATGCTGATGTTATAAGAGAAGGTGAAGAGCTGAACATAATAGTAGTCTGCCGTACAATACTGACGTACTGCCGTACATCCTCCCCCCCGTTCTGTGCAGCTGACAGGCAGCTGGGAGATGCTCCGACCCAACATCAAGGATGTCATGTACCAACTGGAGGTGAGTGTATGTATGTATGCATTTACGTATGTATGTATGTATGTATGTATGTTAAGAGGGCGTGCTAAAGAGTGCGTGTGTTTTCTGGGACAAGGGGGGGAAGTCGCGAGGGGGGTTTAGGGGCGGGGTGTTGGGACACCCGTCAGGGTCAGACTACACTACGGCAAACTATTACATTTAACAATCATCAAAGGTGGGTGTATTATTACAATAATTGTGACTTCAGGGATGCTGCAGAAATGCATGGGAAATGCTTCTTGACGGTTTTTACTGCTGCAAAGTACTGCAAAGTACTGCGAAGAGTGCAGCGGAGCCCTGCAACGTTACCCTGACGGCTTGACCTAAACTGTACGGAATGGCCTGGCCTGGCCCGGCCTGCCCCCAGGTTGACACGTTCAAGGACGGGTTGCTGGGCCGCAACGACCACGCGGGGTGCGGCATGATGCTGGCCAGGTGCGTGTGTGTGTGTATGTGTGTATGGAGGGAAGGGGGAGGGGAGGGGGACTATTGAAGCCCCCCCCCACTGTCGCCCTAATCCCCGCCACACCCGCCCACAAGGGGGGGGTTACCCCATTACACGGCACCCTCCGGAATCCACCGAGAACGTTCCGTGACCTCCACACACACACAAACACACACACACACACCCCTTTCCTTTGATGACTCTGAAATCGGTCCTTGTGACTTTCACGGCCGTGTAATGCCCATCATGTAGCACCATGTGTGCCGTGAAACTGGGTTTGCCCCGCTCCTCCTCCTCCTAAGCTTCCTCCCTCAGCTTAGCTTAGCTTAGCTCAACGGGACGACCGAATCTCCTTACCGTACACTCACCCTCCCCTAACATTTCCCTTCCCCGCGCCTTCTGCCGCCCAACTCCGAATCCGACCTCCTCTCCTCTTCCCTCTATTCCCCCCTCCCCCCCACACACCACCCTTAACCCCCCCCACACACACCACCCTTACACCCCCCCACACACACACCACCCTTACACCCCCCCACACACACAACCCTTACAACCCCCCCAACCCCCCCCCCCACCAGGTTGGGTGAGGGTGGTAATCCCCGCAAGGGCCCGGTGGCGGTGGGTGTGCGGGTGCAGGACACCTTTCGATTGGGGGCCTTCAAGGTGGAGGCGTGCGCCAGCAAGGTGGCGGTGCAGGTGGGGTGGCGTTGAGGGGGGAGGGGGGGGAGGGTGTCTGTTTGTTTGTCGGTATTTTGGTGTTGCTGTCGGGGTGTGTGGTGTGTGTGTGCGTGCGTGTGTTTTGGAGAGAGCTAGGAAGGCCGCTATCACCTGGCTTACCCGCTCTGATGTCCCCCCTCCTTCCCTCATTCACGTTCACCACCTCATTCAAAACCCGCCTTCTGGGGATGATGATGTCAGATCGACTAAGTCCTACCTACCAAAACCACCACTGCCACCACCCCCCTCTCCCCTTCAGGGCCCTACCGGTGGAAAAGAGGAGGGCTGGGGTGCTCGAGCCTTCGTGATGTACGACTGGCTGCCGGTGAGTGCAGTGGCCGGGAACCCGTGGACTGACACTCTGACATGTATGTATGTATGTTGTTACAGGGTGGTTAACTTCGCCAGCGGCCCCCTTTCCCGGGGCAGTCCCTGCTCTCCCCTGCTAGAGGGGCACCCTAATCCGTCACCCCATCCGACTTCAGAATGTATTCGTTGGGTTCGGCAACTCACCACCAGCATCCAACCAAATCTAGCGGATCAACGGCGCATCAACTTAGTTCCTGGTCAGCTCGCAAGTTGATATTATCACGTCCTACACCGTCCATATGATGGGGGGCCACCTCCCATTTCATCACTCCTCAAACACCCGAGGAGCTGGCAGGCGGATTTGAACCCGGGTCGACTGGATCGACTGGGAGCAGAAGTCAGGCCTTAACTTCTGCCAGCCGCCTGTATGTATGTATGTATGTGTAGATGTATGTATGTATGTATGTATGTATGCCACATATACATACGGTTATTTGTTGTCACCGACCCCGACAGGGCGTGGGTATAGCTCTGGATGCCATCCAGGAGAAGGGCTCGGAGGAGTCGGGGAAGCGGCAGCGTGGGTACGGCATCAACGTCACGTACGACTGGGAAATGTTGGGCGCGGCGTTTGGCGCCGAGGTGAGATATCCCCGGGGGAGGTTGAGGGGGAGGGGGGATGGGGGATGGGGGAGGTTGAGGGGGAGGGGGGAGGGGGAGGGGGGATGGGAGCGACAGCAATAGCAAGGGTTGGCGTTGGAGAGGAGGGTGGTTGGGGAGAGAGAGGAGAGACAGCCGGAAAGGGGGGAAGGGGGAGGGGTTGCGGTGGGTGTCGTTTATCTTCCCCCTCCCTTTCCTGTCCGGTGTTTGCGTGGGAGCGGGAGGGGTGGCGTCACTCTGGGCAGAGAGCAGAGGGGTTTACTTCTCCTTCTTCTTCTCCTTCTTCTTAGTGGTGCGTTGGCCGCCAACCCCCCTCCCCCCCCTCCTGGTCAGTTCTGCTTCTTGTACATTCTTTCCTTGGCTGCACCTTCACTCGTTCACGTGGTTCGTCTTCCCCCCTTCATCCCACTCACTCACACACACAGCCCTTAGTGTTCGATTCCAGGTGTTAGCATGTTGGCCCCTGTTGACATCATCGCATGTAACACCCCCCTTTCCAGCTTCACTCGTTTGTGGTTCATCTTTCCCCCCCCCCCCACATACATACATACACCCACACCCACTACATACACATACACCCACACCCGCCCCTTGATGCTCGCTAGTTCGACTACGTGGCCGCCTCCAAGTCGCTGTACGTGTCGGTCAACGCCTTCAGCGGCAACGACTACCGGCTGGCCTGGGTGCTGCTGCTGCCC